ACTAATAAAAGCACTTATACTAAAAGGTTCGCTCAATTATGATAATAATAGTTAAGATCCGGTATTTGCATGTTAAGTCTATTTGAAGTTTTTTCTGCATTTTGTAACGGTATTTAATAAAAGTATAATTATAAATAAAAGGACGAATCTGCTATTATTCAAATGTTCTCATCAGAATAAACATTGTATTGAATTCAAAACTATATGAGATTAAATTTAATATAAAATTCAAAGATTAATGAAAACTGACTATTTTTTCATATAATCACGTTCTTTGAATTATTACATATTTATCAATGTTTACTAATACTATAGTTCAATTTAGCGATTCAACTATTTTTCTAAAGAGATCAAAAATCTCTCATATTCAAGGATATTGCATGTGATAAATATCTGTACATTCCAGATATTGTATAGTTGCACAATTAATTTTTTATCCATAATAATCGGATATGAAATTATAGTTTGAACGACGTGAAGGAAAATTTTCCTATTGATACACTACTATTAAATCTAATAGGATTTCTTGTTTTGTATAATTTTGAGCAATGAATATTAATAATAATATTGACAAAAAAGAATTATCGTGCGTGTTAGTGACATGCATGTCAGTGCAATAAATTCTTTTCCTATCTTATCCTTGAGAAAAAAAAAAGAAAAAAGCCAGATTTTCTATCCGAACATCAAATATAGGACAAGTGCATCTTATTAATATTGACTAAATGTTTTTTTTCTTTTTTTTATAATGAATTGATATATTGAAAGTTATAGTATGATGTTGATGTCATATAGAATCATAATAGTTTATTCATGATGATAAAACATTTCTGTACTATCATTTGGTTATTTAGGAGAAGAAGAAGAAAAAAAAAAGATGATGATAGAAGTTGAAAAAACGAAAGGAACGAATATTATCTTAATTTAATAAACATAACATCTCTTAGTCTTCACTCGACTTATCGGCAAGATAAACCAAGAATGACTTAACGGGGAAAGGCGATCGTTTATATAAGCATAAAAAGAAGAAAAAAAAATAATAATGGAGAACCAAGAGAAAAAGAACAGTAGAAATCTTGAACAGTAATCATTTGACATAACTATCATGCGAGTTGTCTCTGTCGGCAAGCAACAACAAAAAAAGATATGACTAGTATTCCGTTTATTATTGAGCAATAGAGAACGATCAGTAAAGAATCAAAACAGAATTATATATATATATCTTTCTATTTAATTATTATCAAATCAATTTCTTTTTTTTTGCTCTAGATTTTAAGTTATATTGATTTCACCCAAAATAATGAATCAATATAATGATTTATGGTACTCAAATAGTATTTGAGTTCGAATTGATTTATATATTATTTAAATCAATGTTCTTTTTATGTTATTTTATCAAAAAAAATTTTAATTCTCATCAATCATCTTGTTATTACTTCTATGTTCGAACAAATTTTTACACTCTCTCGTTACGGATTTTACCATATTTTTACTGTGATCTTTATTAGCATATGGCTTTTTGCTACACTTCCACATTCTCATATTGTCATGTGTTATTTTAATCGTCTATCAGGTAGGATTTGAAAAGAATAAAATTCAAGTTATCTTGATATATTCTCTTTCTCGTAGAGAAGAGTCCAGTAAACATAAATTGTCTGATCGATCCAAAAATTAGGAATATAAGGGTTGACCGAAGGGTTATTAATTTTGGGGAACTCGAATCTGAAGTCGGTTTTCAAAATTGTTTGAATAAATCGTTTAGCGGTAGTGAAGACACATCGTTTCTACGAGAAAGAGACGAGCGTTACTTGTGTACATAGTTAACTGATCAGTAGCCCAAACTATATTAAATAAAAGTATAAAATCTACAATCATATATTTTATTTCTAGCTATTTCACCTGCATCTGAAGCTCAAATTGTTATTGGCGCTTTTTTCTCTCTACATAATCCTCCTGTATCGCACGGAGGTGGCCGATTACGAGAATGGTAAGTACAAATTTTTAGATAATATATTTACAAAAAATGAATTTTTCAGTGGTGATATTCGTGAAGATTATGGTATACATCGTGTTGAAGGTACTTTTTGGATTCTTGATCAAAGTAAAAAAATTAAATAAACTATACGATAATTTAATAAATTAGTTTTATAGTTAATGCAAATCAATCTATATTACCAAATGTAACTGTTGGTTATCAAATTCGTGATTCATGTTGGTATGCACCTGTTGCACTTGAACAAACAATTGAATTTATTGGTAATTCTGTTTTAACTACTGGTGATTTAACATTCAATGCAAATGGTGGTCGATCACGATTAGCTGCTATTATTGGACCGGGTGACAGTTCAATAACAATGCAAACACATAATATTTTACAATTATTTGAAATGCCACAAATTGGATATTCAGCTACAGCTAAACAATTAAGTAATAAAGAAAAATTTAAATATTTTACAAGAGTTATTGCATCGGATACACAACAAGCACAAGCTATTGTTAGTATAATTCGACAATTTAAATGGAATTATGTTGCTACAATTGGTACTGAAGGTGATTATGGTCGTGGTGGAGTTGAAGCTATTCGTCGATTACTTCGTAATGATGCATGTGTTGGAGCTGATCTTACTATGGTAAGTTAATAGAGTTTATTTTCTTATTTTTTTGTTATTTTAATTTTATAGCCAATTGGTGCAAATGTATCAGTCGCCACTCAACTAATTCAACAACTTGTTATTCGAGCACCACGTGTTCAAGTTCTTATATGTTTTTGTCTTGATCATTCTATTCGAGCTATATTACAAGCAATTAATGAATTAAATTATACTCAACGATTTGTTATTCTTGGAAGGTAATTCAATGAATCCTATATTTTCTTTTTCTTCAATTTAAATTTTTTAGTGATGCATGGGCTGATCGTCTTAATGTAATACCAAATAATACAGAAACTGTAGCATTAGGTGCTATAACAGTAAGAAATTTTTCTCAATGATACTTGTGCATTCTCATAAGATACGTAGAAAGAGACAACTATTTTGTTTCATTTGAAGACTTCTTTACACTATATTGTTGACTCTTAGTACTGTCAATATAATAGTGTCTATTTCTTGTTGAGAGCATGCCATTAATTGAGTAAAAGCTACTCAGCTTAGATTATGTTTATAAATGGGACTAGAGAACATTCCAAGGATATTTCTTTTATAGACATTCTTTCAAAAATTATCCATCTTTTTTTTGTTATTTTCAACGGATAAGATCGAAGTTACTCATATTGTATATTTATAAATAGATCAAAGCACGTTCATTACGTGTGCCTGGTTTTGAACAATATTTTCGTCAATTACATGTCCATAATAATACACGAAATGTATGGTTTCGTGAATATTGGCAACATAAATTTGATTGTTCACTAAGTAATTATACTGAGACTAATCAAAGAAAGAAATACACTCAACAATGTCAACCAGAACGTGAAAGTCTGCGGAAAGTACCTTATAATGAAGATCCTAAACTTGCATTTGTTATTAATTCTATTTTGGCTGTTGTACATGGTTTAGATAAAATGCATAAACAAGTATTTTTGTTGTTAATATTCTTTTCTAATTAAAATATTTCGAAAAAATAGATTTGTAATGGTACAAGTGGTTTATGTGCTGAAATGGCACGTATGAATAGATCGTTATTAATGCATTTCTTACAAAGTAGTCGGTTTACTGGTATAACAGGTGAAGAAGTATTTTTTGATGAGAATGGTGATGGTCCTGGAAGGTAGGAAATATTTAATTTCAAAGCCTAGTTTTAATTAATTCTTTTTTTAGATATGATATATTAAATTTACAAGATAATAAAAATGATACTGAACATCCACTTCATTATGTTCAAATTGGAACATGGAATACAGGAAAATTAAGTTTAAATACATCATCTATACGTTTTTTTGCCGATCAACGTTCATTGAATCAAATAAATATTCGTCAATTTTGTAGTGAAGCTTGTCCAATTGGTCATATTAAAGTTCGATTTTTTTTCTCTAATCATATCTTTGTTTACCATTTATCTATTTTAGAAATATACCGATGAAGAACGATGTTGTTGGAAATGTCATCCTTGTGTTAATGCTATTGTACTGGATGAAGCAACATGTTTCACTTGTCCAACCGGATTTGCACCTAATGAAGATCAAACAGGTTGTTATTATTATTATTTTTATTTAATTTAACTTATTTTTTCTATCTAGCCTGTGGATTATTACCAATAACAACAATAAATTTTCGTCATCCATTATCAATAATAATTTGTTTTGTTGCTGGTATTGGTATATTAATAAGTTTTTTTGTTGTCTATATATTTATACGTTTTAATGGTACACCCGTTGTTAAATCAACAACACGTGAATTAAGTTATTTAATTTTAATGGGAATTTTATTTTGTCATTTAACAGCATTTATTATTTTACAAAAACCATCTTTTATTATATGTGTTCTAACACGTTTATTACCAGGTATATCATTTTCTATGATATATGGTTCATTGGTTACCAAAACAAATCGAATAGCAAGAATTTTAGCAAGAAGTAAAAAGAAAATTATTACAAAACGATTAAAATTTATGAGTGCAAGACATCAACTTGCCATTGCTTGTCTGATACTTGTTACCGAAATTACAATTGTTGGTTAGTTATTTCAATTGAATAGACTTTACATTACTTTTTTTGTTTTATTTAGCTATTACTGTTTACAAAGATCCACCAAAAGCAGTATTAATCGAAACTGGTGGACGTTTATTATTAACATGTAAGATTATTTTATATAAATTTTTGTTAAATTTTTGCACTTTATTATCAGGTAAAAAGTCACTTCAAGGTATCGTCGCTCCACTTGGTTTCGACGGTCTACTTGTTTTTCTATGTACACTTTATGCAGTAAAGTTTTTTCTATTCTTTCCGTGGATCTAATGTAAATCTTCTATGTATTTAGATTAAAACAAGAAATTTACCTGAAAATTTCAACGGTAAGTTAATTATTCATATAACTGATAATTCATTTTTCTTGATTAATAGAAGCAAAATTTATTGGTTTTTCAATGTATACCACATGTGTTATATGGTTAGCATTTGCTGCTGTTTATGTCGCAATTGATGTTAAAGTATTTTCATTATGTGTGGCAACAAATGCAAGTGCATATGTTGTACTTATATTTTTATTCTTTCCAAAACTTTATTTAATTATATTTAAACCTGAAAAAAATCAACGAAGGTTAAATTTTCATAATAAATAAAAAATTCGTCTTTATTTTTTGTTTGTTTTATTTGTAGTGCATTTGCAACAAATACAGAAATTCGTTGTCATTTTGGTTCATCAATAGCTAAACCTGAACTACCATCTGATCGTTATAGTGAAGCGACATCTGTATTTCGTCGTTCTGTTTTACATCGTATTCGTTTTGGTAATACATTACGTTTAGATAATGAATATGCTAATTCAACAGGATCATCATTGCGTACAAATGATTTACCTAGTAGTAATCGTCGTCCATCAAATACTTTAGCAGCTTATCCACATCAATGGATGTATCATGATCGACGTTTATCAGGTTCACCACAAAGAACACCACCTCACGATTCACTACCATATACTAAACGGAAGTCAAGCCCAAAAATATTAGATAATAGACCTACAATATTAGATATGAGTTTAGGCGATGTATCAACAAATTCTTTGACACATTTAAATGATAAAATTAATCTCGAAAGTAAAGAGAAATTAACTGATATTTCAGAACATTCATCTGATTGTATCTATGCCACAAATCAATTGATTAATAATGATTTGTTAACAAAAGAATGTACAAATATTAATCAATTGAATTCAAATCATGCATCAATATCATCTCTAAAAATATTTGGTATTGAAAGTGATTCATTAAGTACATGGACAAATGATGATATACAGATAAATTCAATACCATTGACAACCAAAACAAATTCGGAACCGATTTGTTCATGTCAATTATTATGGCAATTAGAACGAGATACAGATAGTATTGATAGATTTAAATTATTTTTTAAACGAGATGATCTAAATGTTGATTGGGATTATGTACAAGGTTCAAGTGAAGTTTAAAATGAAAAGAAAAAAAACTTAAATATATCTTTTATTTTGTTTTTTGTTTGAATGTATAGATTTAATTTTTATTTTTTATTAGAAGAAAAATAAAAAAAA